GCGTGGGTGGGTTCTGCCCGGTGCCGCGGGAGCCGCGTCGTGCCTGCGTCTGGCACCGGAGCCGCGGCGGGGACAAGGGCCGGCCAGGCGCTCAGGTTAAAAGGGGCCCGGAGACTTCCGTTGTTTAAACTTGAATGCTCGAAAATGGTCTGAGAAGCAATAAACAATCTGATCCTTTTTCTCCCCCCTCTAGAAATCCAGTGCAGTATTAATCCACGGAGGTGCTGTGGACGGAGGTGCTGTGGGGACAGTTGGCAGTACAATGGCTTCTCAGTACCTCGTAGTGGCTCTGGCCGTTTTCTCCTCTTTTACCCAGGTTGTAATAGAAGCCAGCTCTTGGTGGTAAGCATATCGACTTGATTTTAAAAAGGGGTGTCAAGATTTCCTTGATTAAATATCTGTGTGCTTCTTCTGTACTTTGTTTCTGAGGGCGTTCGACAGGAGCGAGGCAGCAGGGGAGTAGTGTGCTGGCTTTAATACGTTGTGTAGTAAAATGAACGGGTCTGTCGAATAGGGCTAAATGTGTGAGATCTCATCTTGTAAAATGAAGTTTTTAGAATGTGTATGGTAGATTCTCTATGGATTTTATCCTCTTTAAATTACTGGAATTGCCTGTCTTTCAAAAGAGAGGCAAAACTCCCTTAGATTAGGAATTTTGCATGTATAAGAGAGAATGCTGATTTACAAGTTAAAACTTCTACTGAAGTTTCGGTTTGAAGTTTTCTGCAACTTAAATGTTTATAAATATATTTTGTATATTTAAATCTCTGCTTTGGCAAATTATAGTGTACAATGTTGGGAGTTCTTGAAATAGGTGTTTCTCTGCTGTTTCAAGCGATCCTTTTTGGATTAATGGCCACTTTTTAATTGAAATGTATCATGTCAAGAGCACTTTAAGAATTATGAAAACAAAGTTGATTTTGTTTACAGTGAATATACTTGCCTCTATGTTTTTGTGTTGTCATTCGGAAGAAGCTAGAAGTAGTCTGTGGCAAGTTTCTAACTTCTGGCTTGCTGAAGGTTTTCCTATTTGTTTATAGTAGAACAGATTGAAAAATCCAGACTTAAATCTAAAATATGTGTTAAAACAAATGGGGGTTTGGGGAGCTTTTTTCATTTTTGCTTTATTTATTTTCCTGGCCTTGCAATTGTTTGGTACTTCTGTTATTTTTACTATGCCAATTTAAGCTGGTAAAGGACTGCCTTGGAAGATGCAAGTCTTCCAAGTCTGTGTCTTACTTCAGTCTCTAATGCATGATGATAACCACATAGATGGGAACTAATAACTCCTGGCCTGTCCTTAAACAAAAGCTTCATATTTAGGTGTTTGGTTTTGGATTTTGTTGCACCTCTTAGCAAAACTAGCAAAACTATACTCATGTATAAGCTACAGTTCTGTTTGGGATGTATGGATTTGTAAAAAAAAAAATTATTTTATATTAGAGTCTTCTGTTCATTAATCCAAATCTTTCTTTATGCAGGTCTTTAGGGATGAACCCCATGAACCCCATGAACCCTGTTCAGATGTCAGAGGTGTATATAATAGGAGCCCAGCCACTATGTAGCCAGCTAGCAGGGCTTTCCCAAGGACAGAAGAAACTCTGCCAATTGTATCAGGATCATATGCAGTTCATTGGAGAAGGTGCAAAGACGGGCATTAAGGAGTGCCAGTATCAATTCAGACACAGAAGATGGAACTGCAGCACTGTGGACAACAACTCTGTTTTTGGCAGAGTCATGCAGATAGGTAGGAAGCAACATCTTTGTGATTAAACTCTTGTCTAAGGATATGTATGGCACAAACTGTTCTGCACTCGAATCTCTTGCCAGGTTCTTACTGAGTACTGTATACAATCAAGTGTTTTAAAAAGTTGGCAAAGGAGTTGGATTATTTTTAGCTGGAGGTGATTTCCCACCACTGTCCAGCCATGTGTCTTGGAAAACAAAGTAGGAATATATATTTGCATATGGGAATAGGGGAGAAAGGAAAATGAGGCCCTGAAATCTCTTTTTAGAAAACCTGAGACAAAACGAAGGCAACCTAAGAGAATTAAAACCAGCAGCGTCTTGTAAAATTAAAGATGTCCATGTCTAGTTCCAAAGTTAGCGGCTGCATAATAAATCGCTCTTGGTCCAGAGGTTAACTGAAAATTGCTGCTCTGTTGACTAGTGTTTATAGGCCATTCCTTCTTGCTTATTTCCAGATATTGTAACTTTTTTTCTCTCTTTTTGAGGAAAATAGGTTTATTTTAAAAGTACTGTAGCAGGGTAAGTTTAATGAAATCAGTTCTATCGGGATAAAATGTGTGATTGCCCTTGTATCTCATATTTAATGTAGTCACATTGCTCATAGGAGAGACAGATTCCTGTTTAACATCTTATCACAATTTGGTGGGCACCCAGCCCTTTCCCTATCAGATCCTCTTTGAAATGTGCTTCTCCAGTGCTCACGTGCTGCCTGCCTTTTCTGGCATTTAAAGACTTCATCGTATTTTAAAGTCCTTGGCAAAATTTTAACCAGTGCTGTTAAACTGGGTCCATGGTGAAACTTTCCTCTGACTTTCCCAAGTCAGACTGGTGATTCCATGTAGTTGTGCTTTTTAGTTGGAGATTTAAAGTAAGGCTTTTATATCAGTGTTTTTCTGTCCTGCTTTTAAAAAAAGAAAAAGTTCTAAAATCAGTCTCAAGCCAGGTTCATCTGTAAATAGGCTGACTCCAGTTAAAGTTGAAGGACTACGTCAATTCACATTTGGTCTCAATTTTTGTTAAAAGAAGTTTTTATTTGGAGATTGTCAGACAAATAGGAAAAAAATCTATTGCATAAAAGTACAGAATTGAAACAGCTGATTTTAGATAAACAACCTTCCCTAGGCTTTTTGCAAGCACAGTATTAGCCCCCCATAGAGTTTGTTTTTTTGCCTTAACCAAGCAAGAGTCTGAAAGCACATGTAACATGAAAGAAAGCTTTTTCTGTACACCTCTCTGTTCTAGTAATCTAACAAATGTCAGAAAAATAATCCATTTAAAATTTAGGCCTTCGTGCTTCAGCCTATATTTATTATCCAGGTGAGTGAAAATTAGCTCGGGGGACTATTGGTGTGAAGAAGTGTACAGGATTGGGCCCATGATTTGTGGTGTCTGCCTCCAGAATAGTTGTTTCTGCCCTCCCCAAGTATGACAGATCTATTTAAAGGTGGTTTCTTTCAAGTTAAATAACTTTGCCGCACCCTTCTGCTGAATATGACTGTATTAGCTGATGTCTACACAGCAATTCATCATGTAATTAAGCCACTTACTCTAATTGCAGATGGAAGCAAGGTTAATAGCCATATTCAAGAGTTAGACCGTAAAGAGTGTATTCATTGAGAGCAAGGAAGGTAGTGTGGGTAACAGTTGTATTATTTCATACTGAACCTCAGTAATGACCAGTTGCTGTTCCTCTGTGTGGAAGAAAAAATGGGAACTTTCAGAGCCTGGTTCAGTTTACTTCAGCTCACCATACCTTGGTGTGTCAGGGACTGTCACCAGTGTGAGGTGACAGTCAGGATCTGAATGCACATCGCCCCAGAGGGCGCCGGGGCACAGCACTGCCCGACAGCACAGCCACGGCCCCGTGTGTCAATGGACAGTCTTTCTTCCAGGATTTACCCTGCACAGTTAGCTAAAGCTGTACAAATAAACCTCGCATTGAGTTTGGAAACTTGCTCTGTGGCTTACTGAACTGCAAAATTTTATGGCTTGTGTTCTGCACTGCTCTCCTTAGGTGCTGGTTCCCAGGTCAAGCCATGGTCCTCACTGCCTTCCCCACCTTGTCCTGTCTCCTGGCTTTGTGGCCAGCCCTGGGCAGGCTGCACTTGGGCTTTGCATATGGCTAGGAAGTGCTAATAGAAAACAAAATAACTGGATCCTCCCCCAACAGCTCCGTGTGGTCAGGGTCCAGTTTATTCTGCCTGCAGCCTGATGTTGAATGCTTTTAAAATGCAACACAAAGAACATTTTGTATCTTAGGTTCAGGTATAAAAAAAAAATTGTTCTGTTCTTGCAGACTTACTCAGATCAAGTGTAAAGCTCAGCCTCGTGCTCTGTGGGTGGCTTCCTACAGTGTGTGTATATTGAACAGTTCCATTTCTATGTTTTATATATATGGGAGAGAGGGGACCTGAACGTGTTTGGAATGTGTGTTTCCTTGCCATGGCTACAATAGAGAAATCCTGGATTGTGGGAAAAGGCAGATATGTTTGACAGTGAAGGAAAGCACAGTTGTGCCTAAAGACTGAAAGAAAAAAAAGTAAAGAAAATGCAGAGTAACTCATCCATGTGGAACCATCACTCTTAATGTGTTCCTGAGGTTGATGACTTGAGGCAGTGTTGGCTGGAAATCTACTTCAGCAGCTGATGCTATTTTATAATTTGACTAAATGTTCAAGGAGGTAACTTGGGGGACAGCTCTCCTTCCTGCACCCCAGCCTTTCCTTCTCCTTCCCCCTAAGAGTAAGTTCTTTGAAATTTGTTCCAGGATAATAACAAAAGCTAGTCAAAAATAGTCAGCTTTATGAGTTTAAATCCTGCAATAAGCGGCATAGTTAACCATGTGAAAGCATGAGCTAACTAAACATGAAAAAGAACAAAAACGGAACGGAAGAGGCGAGTCCTGTGGTCCGGAGCAGACCATGTTTCTTTCCTCTCAATCTAGTGGAAATTTTGCTTAAGGAATTAATCCAAAAATGTGTGTTACAGAGCAAATGGGAACATTAAAATCTGTGTGAGGTTCCCACTGCTATAATTTGCAGTAAATGTAAGGCCTAGGTCACTACATAAAGCCAAATTTTTTTTTAACTGAAAAGGTTACTCCTGTAACCCTTTATACCCATAAGTACTTCCGTGAGCAGGTGTCTGTGAGAACAGACCGTTGTAAGTAAGGTAGCAAAGTACTTCTCATCTTCCTTAAATCTCATCTTTCCTGACATCAGATTTCTGATTTTTCCCATTTAAATCCAGCATCTATTACTAAAATTACTCCAGTGGATGACAGCTGTTATAGTAACAAAACTGCTCTGATCATGATGTCATCTTAACGTTAAATATGTACCAGACTGCAAATTATTTATGTTTCAGAAGTGCTTGAAAGCTCCTATTAGATTTGAGCTGTTCATGATATGACTTGTACAAAGAGTTTTTGCCTCAAAATGTTGCTGCTTAAATATACATGACTTGCCCAAAACACAGCCTTTTAAAGCCCTAATTTTACGAAGGCTCATGCTGTTCCCTAAGAAAAATCCTATAAAATCAAGATTAAAAGAGATCTTGATCTATTGATTGGACTAAAGATTGGGAACAAAACTTAACTCATATAAACAGAAAAAAAAATTTAGTCTATTCTCAGTCATTCTGGGAATCTTTCTTGGAAAAGACCCAATATGGATGCTGTCTTATAAGAAGAGAAGCAAATTAAAGTGTGCTCTCTGATGCAAGTTTTGTGCTTGTTTGTCTGAAAGCTTTGCTAGTTGTAGTCGGAACTTCTGGCACCCTTGGAAAAGTGATCAGGGAAGTCAGCCTCTAAATAAGGTGGGATTAGATACCATCAAGAGGATGGTACATGGCCATATCTTACATTGTGGGTACTGTAACTTTTTCTTCCAAAAGTTTGAAACTTGAGGTTTTCCATTTCCATTTAAGGGCACCAGATGCAGGAGAAAACCTTCAAGGCTGCCTTGTGCCAAGGGTTTTTTCTTCCCTGTAATTTGTAAAGATGATTGTCCATGGACTCATTTGCCATATTCACATGAGCTGGAATGGTGGATACTAAACAGCACAGGTTGTCGTTAGTTTTAAATAGCCTTCTACAGAAGTGTCTGGCTAATGTGTAGGGTGGAAAGTTGTGTGTTATTCTGCTGCACGTTTCCTTTGATACCAGGAGGCTTTGTAAAACGCTTGAACTTTAAATAAATTGGAACAAGTGGGTGAAGCGCATCAATCATGCTTGAGAAGTAGTAATTTAAGAACCAGACTTTTAAAAGTTGTACTTAACATCTCTTTCTTCTGAAAGACAGGGAGCCTGTTTCCCTTCCTGCCCCTCACACACAGGCATAGCTGCTTTGGCCCTGCTGGCATTGTGTTCCAGCCCTGACCCCACCTCCTCTCCACTCTCTCATCCAGACTTTCACCAACATGAATAAGAAGTGATTTCTACTCTTCACAAACTGTGTGTGTGCTCTAATGGGGTGGTTTCACACGGTTCTTTCGGAGTGAAGATGTTTTGGGAAGTATGGTTCAAGGTTACGCTACCTTTTAGTAGTCAAATGAGTTTTGGTGACTCCTGTGAAGCCTTTGCCCTGCCATCTCCTCAGCGGGTAGGGAGCTGTGTGTGGGGGCTCTCCCCTAACACCACTTGTCTTTCTGTGCAGGCAGCCGGGAGACGGCGTTCACCTACGCGGTGAGTGCAGCCGGGGTGGTCAATGCCATGAGCCGTGCCTGCCGGGAGGGCGAGCTCTCTTCCTGTGGCTGCAGTCGAGCTGCACGGCCCAAGGACTTGCCCCGGGACTGGCTTTGGGGTGGCTGTGGGGATAACATCGAATACGGATATCGCTTCGCCAAGGAGTTCGTTGACGCCCGGGAGCGCGAGAGAGTTTACCAGCGAGGCTCCTACGAGAGCGCCCGCATCCTGATGAACCTGCACAACAACGAGGCCGGAAGAAGAGTAAGTGTCTGCAGAACAGCATGTCCCTCTGCCCTCCTCTGTGTCCCTCCTTTTGAGGAAAGGTGTGGCTCAGTGGGGCACAGCAGTGCCGAGCAGTGACCGGCCACCACGACTTATCTCCGTTTTGATGCTCAAAACAAGAAAACAGCAAATACAGGGTGTGAGTGGGTGGGGAGCACATGAATTTGTGTTGGTTTGGGTTGTCTGGCAGTCCTATTGCCTTCCTCATGGGGAAGGCTGGGACCAAAGTGTGTTGTATTTCCCGCTGTATTGTTTCATGAAAAGTGCCCCGCTCGCTGTGGATTCTCTGTAGAACTGAATTTTATTAGCTGGTATTTCCAACCAGGACAGTGTGTGTTGGAAGGAGGAGGGATATGTTGGGCTTCCCAAGCTGGAATTGTGCCACAGGATTGTTCTGACTTTTTTTCATTTCCCTGCTTTAAGAGGATGTGAAAAGCTTCTCCATGCTATTAGAAAACATGGTCTTCTGTGGTTGAACATGTCTTTATGGTTTCTTTAATCTCAAAAATGCCTAAAATGAATGGGTGTAAACTTTTCTTTTTTTGAATAGTCTGAATATGAAGAGCCAAAGTCATTATTTTTCTAGAACTTGAAGTGCCAGCAATAGTCGGCTGGAGACTTTACACTTGTGTTCTAAGGTGAAGAAGGATGAAAGATAATTGAAAATTAATAGTATTTAAATGTAAGAGGAGGGTGTCTGAAAGCAATGGACAGGCCAATTTACTATTAACAAGAAGAAAAATGACACTTTCACAGTTGCTTACAGAGACTCAAACAGTTTTTTCCTTTCTCAACCTCATCTTTGCAGTGCCATTTGGCAGCGTTAAGACTCTCTGTAACTGCTGGGTGGAAGTTGTCCACAGTATCATCTAATGTGTCAGACCCCAGGATTTTTGGGGCAATGTCAACACTGACTCTTATTTCTATTTGTACAGGGCAAATGACTGAGGTTTCCCTGCCAAAGCTTTGTAAAGAGGATATTGCTATGTAGCTCTGTCTCCCACCCATAGGTGTTCAGGGGTTTCTTCTTGGATGAAGTCTCTCTTCCAGAGCAGTATTTGGGATAGGAGGAGGATGCTGAGCCAAGAGTAGACAATCAGCTGCAGCTGAGCCAGGAGCAAGAGGAATCTTAACTCTTCCCTAATTGCAGCCTCAAGCAGAGATCAATAGGGAGAGTAACTCAGATAGAAAATAAAGGGATGTTTTACATTTCTCAATGAAACAGCAAAATCCTTTGCTGGCGTGAGAGCAAATTCCTCAAATTTGAGTGCAGCCTGACTGTTACTGCTGTCTGGGTTGTGTGTGTGCTGTTCTGGCTGTCTCAGTGGTGGGGAGAGGCTGGGAAGCACACTCCCCTCCTCCTCCTGGCTGTTAGGGGTGCTGGGGGTGCATGTGTGTCTGCTCGCTCGCGCTTCCTTCCCAGCGTATTGGAGAAGGGGGAGAGAATACTAAGGTGAATACTGTGAAGAGGCCAGTGGGAATACGACAGAGGGCAGGAAATGAGGGGAATAAAAGCTTTCACAGCCATGCTAGTCTTTCATCATTGTTTTTGCTTCTCTTCTCGGCTCCTCCAGACGGTGTACAACCTGGCTGACGTGGCCTGTAAGTGCCATGGTGTCTCTGGTTCCTGTAGCCTGAAGACCTGTTGGCTGCAGCTCGCTGATTTCCGCAAGGTAGGCGATGCCCTGAAGGAGAAATACGATAGTGCTGCTGCCATGAAACTCAGCGGCCGGGGCAAGCTGGTGCAAGTGAACAGCCGCTTCAACGCCCCCACCATCCATGACCTGGTGTATATTGACCCCAGCCCCGACTACTGCGTGCGCAACGAGAGCACCGGGTCCCTGGGCACCCAGGGCCGCCTGTGCAATAAGACCTCGGAGGGCATGGATGGCTGTGAACTCATGTGCTGTGGCCGGGGGTACGACCAGTTCAAGACGGTGCAGCGAGAGCGTTGCCACTGCAAGTTCCACTGGTGCTGCTATGTGAAATGCAAGTTGTGCACAGAGATCGTGGACCAATTTGTGTGCAAATAGGGGACGGATGAGGTGAGAGGAACTGCAGCCACCTGCCAGCAAGGGGTGCAGGCCTCTCTCCCTTTCCACAGGACTATCTCCACTTTATTTATAGAGTCCAACGAGTTGTCGTCTTCTTTTAAGAAAATAAAAAAAGAAAAAAAAAGGGCGGGGGAAGGAAGAAAAAAAGCAAAAAAGAAAAATATAAAGGTTGCAAAGAGAAGTGCCTGGAAACCCTCTCTGCGTCCATCCCAGAACTGTGTGCAGCTTATATTTTTGGCAATAATGGGGGAGAATCTGAGAATATTTATTTTACAAAGCTAAAAAAAATAAATTTGACTTTTCTTACAAACAGTAGAGTAGTTTGAGGGGAAAATCTGACATATCCTAATTTAGTCCCATGGAACGTAAGACATGTGCAGTAGGCCGAGCAACCATGTAATGTGCTTGGGATGTTAGAACAATCCTTATGGATGTGAGGAACACAGACCTGTCCATGACTTTTGGTTTCAGACACTAGAAGTTACTAGAATAGGTATATAAAGCTATTCAGTACATGTAGGGCTCTGTAAATAAGGGGTATATTCATCATGAAATGTGGTGTCGGTTGCACATCTGACTGTGCCCACTGAGTATGCAGTGTCACTGGAGGGCAAAGAGCAAAGGATCAGAAAGGCTTCAACTGCGCTATCCCTGAGTCACTGGGGTTGGTTCCAGAACCTATGGAGACATAAAAAAAAAAGAAAAAAGAAAAGAGCAAAAACCTGCCTTGGTGAATAGTAAAGATATTCTTCAAGGCAGAGTTTGGCCTCATCAGCTAATTGTGACGTTCGAGTGTCTGGTGTGACAGAGCATCACTTCCCTACTGCTGAGTGTGGAGCAGCCTGGGGTGGGCTGTGTGGAGCACTGTGGCTGGGGGAGGGGGGCTGCTTACAAACAGCTTCAGTTTCCCAGCCTGGAAAGCCCATAGAAAATAGAGTTCCCCAAATTTGAAAATGCCTTAAAAATGGTGTAATAGCTGGCTGTCTTTCAAAACGCAGCTTGACAAATAACTCCTCTAATTTTATGTGAGAAAATAAATCATTAGATATCCGCTCTTGGAATGATTGATTTTTATTTTTTTTCGCAGATTTTGGGAACGCTTTCACTCAAGGAGACAATAGTTTCATATTTTAATAACATTAACTGACTATTATAGTTCAATGAAACATTGCAGCAATACCAAATTTATCATCCTATGTCTTTAATACACATGCTTTAGATAATATATTGCAGATATACACTACAGCTGTTCAGACTGTACTTGAGCAGTTGCATATATATGGGAGAACTGTGGTCTGCTGGTGTCTGATACTTCAAAGCTTTTTGTACATATATATTTTAATGATTTAGAAATTAATAAAACATCTAAATTACAGGGGCAGTTCATCCCTCATTTTCTTTATCAGATTTCTTCAGGTTTTTAGATTGATTATAAGCTTTTGGTGGTTTGTTTTTTTAATTATTTTTTAAAGCTTTTATAATTCGAAAGTTTTAAGGATAATCAAAAAGACGTTAGTCTCTTCCCAACTTTAGGACTTTCTTGAGTGGTTTGTAGAGGCAGCACCCTGCACTTGGATCAATACTGGTCTGGAGATTGCTTCTATTCCACTCTCACATTGAGGGCATTATTGATTATTGCTGAAAGGAGACACCTTCCAACACCAAAACGTGCTGCATTGGGCCCTTGTTTTTCAGGTTTTGAACAGAAAATTGTTATTTGTTGAACAACATGCGTTCCCCCCCATGCTGTGTAGTTACACAGGATTTCATCTTTGGTTCAGATGCCTCTTTCCAACTTAGTCCCATCCAATAAGTTAAGGAAAATGGTTTTGCAGATACCAAGTGAGGAAAATCTTTCACTTTAGCCGAGTTGTACTAAAGCCTTGACTTTTCACAAGCCTTTAAGCTGTATCATTAAATTCATCTTGATCATTTATCAGCTTCTTAATGGCGCTTTATTGCTCTTAATTTATTGTACAAGGACATATTTACCCCTCATCTTCAGATGTTTGCAAAGAATATCTTTAAAGTAAGAGAAATAAATAAAGCACTAATTCATTGAATATGTCACTTTGGTTTTTATTGTACAAAAACCATGATCTTTTTTTTCATTTGCTGAATCACCTCATGTTCCTTTTTAGTGACTTTTGTCTGAGCAGAATTGAATCTCAAGATCCTAGCTATTAAAACACTATTTAATGTAAAATATTTTACTTGTCATTCAGATATGTAAATCTTCTATGTCCTTTCCTGTTCTGTACATTTAATGTACATATTTCTGTCTTGCGTGATTTGTATATTTCACTGGTTTAAAAAAAAAAAAAAAGGATTATGCCATAATTGAAGATAGACTATAAAAATAAAACTTTGGTTGTATATTGGGAAGTGGTTTTAATTATCTTTCAGAGAAGGGTTTGTTAAAACAATGAACAGAGTTGATTTTTAAATTTATTACATGGTAAAACAGGGAAGTGTTTGTTCGCCAAACATACAAAGTACATCTTGAAGTTTTATTTCTATGTTAAGAAGACTTACAGATGTAACTACTTGTTAAGTAGAAGGGAAAAAAACCACCACACCAAAAAACCAATCTCAAACTCCCATGACTCTGAATTAGAAAGCATTTTAGAGATGGGAAAGTACCTAATTGGCAGTGGATAGGGACTTGGGTTAATGTGACTTGTGTGCATGCAGCTTCCAGGACTACCTGCACTGATCCTGGGACAGTGGGGCATGATCCTGCGAGCAGCTTCCTCCAGCAATCCCAGTGATGGCAGCAGGATCCTCATGCAAGCAAAGGTTTCCAACACGAAATGTTTTCGGAGCTGAGTTTGTGCAGTCTGGGTTGTGTGTGGGGGGGGTGGTTCCCCCCCACATCAGTCTGACTGCGCTTGAGCTGCAACGTGAAAACTCATCAGTTCTTAGACTTCTTGCCCAGAAGCTGAGCAATTATGGAGGGAAGAATCCTTTAAAAAGACCCAGTACAATGAAGTATTCGTAGTAAGGAGGTAAAGCAGAAAATGGAAATTATTGTAAAACCCAAGTTTTCTGTTTTGAGCCTGATTTCTTGAGTAATAATGACTTATTTTTTTTGCTAGGGGTAACTTGTTGAATTAGTGGCCTTTCTTTACCTCTCTTCTGCTTCCTTTCTTCTTTTTCTTTTTTTTTCCCTTTTTTTTGCTCAAGGATAACCTTCTAACATATCGAAACTCCTTCTGGCTGCCAAGAATGTATTATCCCACAAACCAGTAGACCAACATCGTGTGTTTAAAATAGCGATTCTGGGCAAATGCAACGTTCTGTGGTCCTATTACTGACATCTGGTTCAGTTTTCCTTCACTTGTATATTGACCAGTATTCTTTATTGCAAAAACACAGGCCCTATTTAGGAAAGTCAGCATTTTTTTGGACTGGATTGTATTCAAGCTCTTCCCAATAACAGAAAAGTTACCAAAAAACTTCTTTATTGGCAGCAGTAAATAATCTGTATTCAAAATAGTCATTGTGGGCTCAGATACAAGAGATTTGTTTTTAATTTGCACCAAGTTTATCTCTTTAATTTTGTTAAAAAAACTGTTTCAGAATCTTGGGGTTTTAGCAATATCTTAAAATCTTTGTGTTCAGTTATGGCTTTGTCAATACTGATTTTCGCTCTGTTTTTGCAAAGCACTGAAGCCCCAGGTGTTACCAGGAATTGCACCCAGAACAGGCAAGAAACTTGAAGTGAATGGCAGCTTCAAGTCAAGCACTGCATGCAGGATGCAAGCTAAAATCCTGCCTGTCTGCAGGATATGTTTGATAGAATGAGCTCTCAAAGACCTCTGACAAAACTTGTAGAAAGTGGTACTGAAGCTGACAGAAAGGCTGCTTTCCTTTCAGTAAGAATTTTTTAGAAATCATACCTAAACCATTAGGATATTCATTGTAAAAGGGTGGATTTGTTGAATCAGGAAAGGCATCTTATTTTTTTCTTCTTGACTATATGCTAGAGGAAACTGAAAACAAAGAGGAAAAATGAAGTTCTCTTAAAAATACAGAAAAATATATTAATGTATATCTTATGTACATAATTGCTGACTGTGGTAATGTTAAAATTGTTGAAGTCAGTTTGGAAGGCAGGCCAGATATGTTCTTTTGTTTTTCAAACTGTGTTTAAAATCCTCAATGGGAAAAAAAAAGAGAAAAACCCTCCTACCCTATTCCAGGCTCTGGTATGTCTGTTTATGTTGCAGGGGGATAAAGGATCCATGTAGGAGTGCAGTGAGGGGTTTGTACATGAAATTTTGTTTTTTTAAAAGGTGTGATTAAAAAATCCAATCTGTCTCCTGCTCTGCTCTTATATGAGATTGCGTGTGTGCATTTGTATATACTCTGCTGGTATTTTCCAATTGTGTTGGCCAAATTCTGCTTTTAGTTATGGTTAGGCATCTCTCCTGACTCTGGTGGTGTCATATGAGCCTGACATTTTTCGACCAGACGTGAAGGCCCCCCTGCTCAAAGAGAATGCATATGAAATATATCAGCCTTTCTTCTGCTGGCTGGTTATTTAAACATGGGTAACTGAATTATTGTGAAACAAATTCTGGGACTGCAGCTGCAAAAGCAGTAATACAGTATATTCGTAGTGATGTTTCTACGCCATACCTCCTAATTTCCCAGTTGATTTCCAGTGCAGACAGAAAGTCTAGAATGCATGTGGTATGTTCCTCATCATATATTTTATAAATGTAAAATAATGATTTGTCAATTACTGTTTCTATTATAGAGATAAAATTAGATATTACAAGCTCTCCTGATTTGTTGAAAACCTCTTACCTTTGGCTGTGTTGAGCATTGCTGGCTCGGAGCAGCATTGAGCAGTGTGATGTGAAGCTGGTTTTGGTAACATCTCTGAGACCCAGGGCTGTGCAGTGTGAATATTGGTACGCTGTATGCTTTTGTAGCCAATGTTGGTTTACATTGTGTTGTCTTTCCCAGCAGTCCTGCTTTCTCAAATGGTAATTGAACAGCAGCAGTCAAAATACTCAGCTGACAGAGAACCTCTGGCCACTCCATGGGCAGTTATTAAAACACTTTCTGAACCGGTTTGACCCATTGCTGAT